ACTTGCGTTGTTGATGCCATCGCTTCCTTTTTGCCTAAGTTCCACTGTTTCGAGGCCATTGGTTGATAATTCCTTGCAAATACACAATACTCCATCGTGTGATGTTAACCGGACGATAAACCACATCTTTAACCATCTATACTTTACCTTCACACGACATTTTTCACTAAAGTACCACTCTGGACGTCCAACAATGCGTTTCTACCAATACTCGTCTAAATAAATGTCTTGTGAAGTGAAGAACTTTGTTAGTTTGAAGGCCAGAGAATCGTCCAGAGCAGTTGTACGGAGCAAGAATTTTCCAAACCAAACAATCGAGAGTCTTTAGAGTCACTGATACACATATATACTTATTGATAGAGAACTTATTCAAGGAAAACTGTTGTTTTCCAGTTCTCGAAATAAAATTTCTTCGATGTGATCAAAAAGTTGTTCAAATCTTTACAGTTTAAACACGTGCACGCATTTTGTTTTCCAATTACGCCTATTGTTTTTAGCTGTTTGCTGTAAAAATTTACGCATATATTTTGAATAAATTGCGCGGCAGCAATTTTGAATTTAGAAAAAGAATTCAATCATAAAACTTAATTTCATCATTTTATCCTTGGAAACGTTTGGTAGACTTTTGACATGTTATTTATAGGCATCAGTAGAATAACTTCCGGCAAAAATAAATTCTGTTGCAATTACTTCAAGGTTCGGTCTTTTTTTCTCGTAGAATGACTAGACTATATAGTTTGCACTTTTTTGCACCAAATTTGCACTGAGTGAATTTGATGTAAATCAGATTTTTCGTGCAGTGTTATTCCACGTGACAGTCAGTTGAAAACACTGAAATCTTTTACGTTTCATATCATCTGATCAAGTTTGAAAACGGATATTTGGAAACTTAAACTTTAAAATCTTAAACTTGTCCACAGTGATGTAGGCCGGTTCCGCCGAAATTCTGTTAATTTTTTAATTTTGTTATCGTTCCCGTTTCAAACGTCGTGCTACTGCCGTGTCGAACTCAATTGATGGAATTAAACTCGACTTTAGCTCGGCAGTAGTGCGACGTTTGAAACCAAGTCGTGCTACTGCCGTGTAGCACGGCAAGCCTTGCCGTGCTACACGGCAGTAGCTCGACTTGGTTTCAAACGTCGTGCTACCGCCGTGCCGAACTCAATTCGTAAATTATAAATACATTAGATTAAAAGTTTGCTAAACCGTTTCTTTATTTTTGTGTTTTGTTTTCGGCAACAGCCGTACTATTCGACTGAATTAAATTCGACGTCTGAATTCAAGTCTTGCTAGTGTCGTGCTGCAGTCGGACTACAGTCGAGCCAGCTTAGCACGGCAGTAGCACGATGTTTGAAACAGGCCTTACTAACACAAAGCGCGCGGACCATAAAAGAGTATGGTCTCGTCGATGAAAACAATTGGAAAGAAAATCGCGTGGTCAATTTTCAAAGTTGCTCTTATTCGCCAATGATTTCTTTAGTTTTTATATTTTATTCAAATTCAGGCTTTTCAATCAACGAAAGGAAAATTTCAAGGATTAGCAAATTTACAAAGTGCTTAATTATGAAATAATTTACAACAAGGTAAATAATTATGTATCTGCAGGGGTATTTCAGTTCTTGACTAAAAGCTTATTCAATATACGGCGACATAGGCGTACGGGCAATTTTTTGCCAGGGGGGGCGGTAATCCATTTGCCCAAAAATTCTTGCAAGTTGCCCAAATTTTTACAAAACAGTCGAAAGGAAACTAGGGCCATGCAACAACATAGGCCCTACTGGCATATGAAAGTGGCTCGATACAGTTTTTCAGAGTTAATACCTGCCAAGTTTGAGCATAAACTACGTCGCCACAAACAAGCATTTGGAAAAAATTGCCACCACAGTTGTATTAGATAAAGAGGGAAATTTGTCATGATCACGGTTGCAATGACATCGGAGCTGTCATAGCAACGAAATGATGACAATACCTATTATACTTGCAGCAATATTTCTCCCTGGGAACTGTTCTTACAAAATCGTTCAGGGGAGCTCTTTCCTCCAATAGTCGCCTCGATGTTCGTGAAGTTAAAACGGAACTGTTAGAGCGTTACCGAAATATTTTGGGATGAAGTTTTTATTGTTAGAAATAAGGTAAAAAAGGAAAATCTTGATGTTTAGTCAAAATCTGAAGAAAACGAAGCGCTTTTGACATGCAATTCCTCCTCATAGTAGTTTCAATCTTTTTAAAAACGTGTGTGAAAGATCATGGAGATAGCTCCTGTCATTGCTATAAAGAAGGGTTTGATTAGCGCTATTGTTAGGGGTTTTGTAAACATTTTGGTCTACTTAAACAAATAAATGAATAATTTTTAAACCACTCGATAGATTTTTTTAAAAAATTAAGATTCTTCTCGTAATTCAAACTGAGAATTAGTCAGCCACTTCTTCACTTTCAGAGCCATTGCTGATGCGTGTTCTGCCACACACTGTTCTAAGAGCGGAGGTGATTCTAGAAAGTTATGCGGAAGTTTATTCTAATCACTTCACGACTGGAAATAGCCCATTCCAGCCAGTGCAGTGCAGTACAGTGCCCAACAAAAAAAATCAGCATATGATACCCTTCCCTTATAACCAGAAACTCATCACGTGCAAGGCAACCACTGTCTCGTGTGAACGTAACTGAATTATTACGCCGACTTCTGGTTAAAATACAAAATATTTATCTCTTCAAAATAATAATAATAATAAAAAACATGGAAACGTCTTTAAAAACTGGCTTTGCCCAAATTTTCTCTTGCTGCCCAAAAAATCTGAGTTGCCCAAACTTTGGGGGGGGGGCTGCAGCCCCCCTCGCCCCCCCCGGCCCGTACGCCTATGTACGGCGAACACTACACCGTGTTATGGGTCAACGAATTACTAAGTGAAAGGTACAAATGGTTTTGGAATATTGCTTCATACTTTTCTCTTCAGTGCTTTTCTTCAAGGACAAACAGCAACAACAAAAAAATATCATAGAACCATAAAAAAATATCATACTGTAACATCCTTTCAATCTCCGAAGTCGTACTTAAGTTTAGGAAAGATTTAAAGCGCGCGATCTGCAATACTGAGACCTTATCCACGATACCCCGCCATCTCGTAAGCGCTTAATGATTGACTTGATAAAAACAATGTCACGTGGTATGTATTTCAGTTCAAATCAACCTTTGTTCAAATCAAAGACAAAATTTGTCAATACGAGTAAATACCGTCGTCTCTCTAGTTTCTAGGAATCTTTTAATGTTCCGGGCCCGCTGTAGTCGGCCACAGCTGTTGCGGTGTCCCTGCCAACTTTCTTTCTGTTTGTTTATCTGTTCTTTTTTTCTTGGCGAAGCTAATAAAAAAAAAACAAAGTTGCCAAAGGTTTGGAATATCATATTTGAAAATATACATGAATGTGCAGATGCTTTAAGAATCCGGTGGCTAAAAAGAGGGAGATGATAACTAATGTAAATCTGTTTTTATATTTGTAACAGTTCGTTGGTTAATTGCTGGTTTTTAATAATGTCAAGCCATTCAAAATAGATCAAAATAAAAATCCAAACTGTTCAATAGATAAAGTCCAAAATCTGCGAAATGAAAGGGGGTATAAATATGTAAAGAACCTCGCCGAATTCAGGCCAGTGTAATTTTTCATATACGAGATATCCAGAGAAATGTTTTACTAAATACATAGAGTTTTGCATGAAGACGCCGTGTTGGTGCCCATCCGGAAATCAATGCTCGAACATCTGTTACTGAGTTTGGAACGAAAGCGTGAATTTATCTCTCGAGAAACTCATAAACATGAATAAAAGTAATAGATTTCCTAATACATGAACTGTTCAGATAGCAAAATTACCGCGAAATAAGTCACTTTTTTAACCTACATGACAGCTCTCTCGGTCGTCGTGTAAATTTCGCGTCACGCAAAAGCTTAGAAACTCAAGCGTATTCTATCACAAAGCAAAGAATTGAACCTTTTCGTCGCGAAAATTTGTATGAATATTAGTTTCCAGCTGCTGTTATATTTCATGAAAGTAAAATCTCAGTAGGATCGATAGTTTTGCATTTTGAACTTTTGGTGACTTAATGTGAAAACCATGCAACTTTCTGATATTGATCTGGCTTGACTACTCTAACCGCTAATTATCGTAATTAGTTACACCTCATATTCTACTCTTTTGTTTGGCACTGAACCCTAACTTAAAATTCGTTTGCTTTCTTTTAATGTCTAATTAGTGAGCAAGAATTCGCTGGCTTTTTTTCCTGTTTAACATTACTCCTTTGTTAGCGAATTGCTGTCGATCACAGGTTCACAACATAGTACACCATTTTACGTACAGGTATGTCTGCGATAATAACAGCCGTATTTAAGGCCACTTTTGGTGTGGTCGTAAATAAAGGCAGAAATGTAATGGCAGACAAGCTAAAAGAGGGTGATGTAGCAGATCAGAAAGTTCGTGACATGATCATCGGTGATATGGAAGACGTCAAGTCAAAGTTAAATGCATTGTCACGAAAGGATCTTGGGGCAGCTGTAGATTCTTTGGAAACAGGACTCAGGTTTTTGAATAACGCAGTCGATGCAATGTATAATGACAATCCTTCTTGGGAAGGAGCGAAGGAACCAGAAGGAGACAAAGAAGATGATTTTCACGGATTAACTTTGCCATCAGCTAGTTACTCTGAAACCACAGTTATTTTAGATGCGGGAACCAAAAATGTCCAGCTGACGGAGTCTGTCAACGAAGTAGCGAAAAGTACGCTCTCTGCTGCAAAAGACAGATTTAAATTGGCTCGTGAAAAAGCAACAGATGCCTGTAATAATGAAGCGCTCAGCACGTTCGATCGAATCACAGCCATTCGATATCGTGTAATGGCAGCAATATTAGAGTCAGCTGCTGAGAATGTAGGAACCGCCGGTGACTTAAAAATCACTTTGAAGAGTGCATTACCTGAGTGCGAACAGTGCCTTCAGAAACTCCACTCCCTTCCAGCTGTTCAGAAAAGTTTTAAAGTCGAGCTTGAGAAGGGTCGACTAAACGTCAGAAGTCGATTTGGCAAAGAGGAACGACGGGAGATAATTTCCACGGTATGTCAGGTAAATCGCGCCATTTACGATGCGACATTAACAGTTTATGGTGGAGATGTACATGTCTGGGTCTGGCCATATGTTGACACCGGAGAGGATAAAGTTGATCCTCTGCGCGATGGAAGAATTAGAAAAGTCATTCGCAAAGTTAATATGGAGCAATGTTGCGTCACACCATGGTCATTTGGTCAAGAGGGTGAAGAGGAGCATAAACTGAAGCGTCCGTATGGTATTGCTACAAACACCAAGGGACAGTTTCTTGTAGCAGACAATGGAGATAAAACCGTCAAGGTGTTTGATGGCAAAGGAAAATTTTATTTCAGTTTTTATCCCCAAACTGATGATGCCGATACAAAGTTAATGTTTATTTATGACATCGCGACTGGAGACGTGGACGACAAGATCTGTCTTCTAGTGGAACTGAACAAGGATGGGGTTGAGAAATGGGAAGTGCAAGTTTTTAACGAGACCCGTGAGCTACAGCACAAGTTTCCTGTAAGAAGAGGGGAGTGGGACTGGGGCAGAGTAGCATTGAGCAGCAGTAAAGTACTGGTGTTGGTTGATGACGTCGTTGATGTTCATAAGCAGGAAGGAAAGTTTGTTTGCAGCTTTGACAAAGGAGATTTCAAAATTGCAACAGATATCACTGCTACTTGTGATGGTCATGTCATGATAGTGGGCCCAGGCGAATCCTCTGTTGACTTTACTGTGGAAGGACAACAGCTTGCCAACTTTGATATCAACATCGAGGGAAATCTGTATTATTGCATTGCATGCCACCCGAAAGGTGAACACGTCGTCGTTGCTGGTCGTGAACGAGACACACGCCACCTAACGCTGGCTATATACACTGTAACTGGATTATTTGTAAGACGAATTCACCTGGATGAAGAACTTGATATCATTGGAGGTGGAATAACAGTGACCATGGAGGGTCACATTGCTGTGACTTTTACAGATAGGCATTACAATGGAAAAGTTATTGTGGTTTAAAACTGAAATTACATAGACACTCTCATCGATCTGTATAATTTTTCAGACGAAAGGCGAATTCAATAATGTTTTTTTATTCATTTAAAATAATTCTTACTTTAAAAATATATGCTTCATTATTTACCTTGATCGCCTTTCATCTTTCTCGCCAAATTCCAGATATAAAATGATGTTTTTATAATAATCGTTTTATTATCGTGCAAAGCCCACAGAACTTTTCTATATATGCGCTTTTATTTTATATTTCTAATAAAAATGTTCATGAAAATAACAACAATAACAATAACAATAGTAATAATAATTACATTTTTCTTGAATGACATCATCGATATAAGGTTGCTGCTCATTATAATTTAAGAGCCCAAAGCTGTAGTCTTTCTGCACATTTCTACATCAGCGAGGTAGACGTTTCGATAGTTTTTCAGATAACATGATGGAATTAAACTATTAATGGAAAAATCGACGTAGACTTTTTTTGGCTAAGGACGTGCAATTTTGATTGGAATGTTTGCATAGAGCCCAAAAAGGTACCGGGAATTTCAAGAACGAGCCCGGAAATGTGAGGATAAAAAAAAAAAAAAAAGACGAAGAAGAAGAAGAAAAAGAAAAGGACACTGCGCCTAAATTTATGAAATGATTAAAAACTGAATACTGAATAGGGGGAACGTAAAGTTGGCAACTGGTGATAAACAAACCAGCAGATATATATGCCAAATATTCAACCCGTAAATATCTTATAACTGTGTCACTTAAAAGCTACAACTGACCTTTGAAAACCAAATTGTGCTCATAAAAGTTGTCATAAAAGTTTTGATCCGTTAAAGCGATTCCCTCGTTTTGCGCTGTGCATCTCTCCCAGCGCATTATGGGGTGCAACTTGGCTTGCTTTACAGTGATTTAAAGCTATCTGTTTTTCCGTAAACAGCTGTGCTGTATATTTGTTACAACCCCTCGATCGTCACTACGTATAAACTGCCGAGTTTCAGGGATCCATATTAGGCCCCTTGTTATTTTTGACATATATTAATGGACAACATGCATATAATGCGTCAAAGATTTAGAATTGATATTTTTTTTCCCGATGACATAGAGGATATTACATGGCCGCTTGGAGATACCAAATTTCTCTTAGAGTGTTGAAAATATTTCACGAGTGAGCGCAGCGAACGAATTAAATATTTTTTTAACACGAGAAGAGAAATTTCGTATCTCCACGTGGCCATGTAATGTTCTATTTATTATATAAACACCAATGAACTACCAAGCCATTTCACTTTAATAGTTTTTTGGTGTGAAAGGCGCGATCTTTTATGTAGCCATAGCAACGGTGATATTTTCACACGTGAAGATAACATGTTATTTTCACACGTGAAAAGTCAAGTTTTCGCGAAAGCTCACCTGGTATTTCATTGGTGTTTATATAATAAACTAATGTCTTCTATTGGCATGCTGCTGTATCCTATTTCACATCGACTATTGTGAACTTAGAACAGAAAAATAAACTTATTTTGTTACATTCAATTCGATACAAAACAGATAAAGACTTCAGCTTTTTTTTAGTAGAAATTACTCCTGTTAAGGAAACTTTTTTCCAAGTGGAATTTTAGATTAGTATAGGTAATAGCATGATTTGTAGTGATACTTGGCATAAATACCACGACTGATATTTCCAAATTGAAATTTGAGGCAATTTTGAAACATCACGAGTGGTATTTGTGCCAAATATCACGTACAAATCATGCTATTATTTGTTTATACTCATACGCGCAAAGGTTTTATAATTTTCACATGTAGGTATCTCAAATTAAGCTGAAATACCACTTCTCTAAGCCAATCAAATTGCAGAAATTTCTCATTTAATAGTATAAACACATTAATTAAAATATTCCGGAGAGCACGCATACTTTATGCAAGGAAAGTGTTTAAAGCCATGTGTGTAATGTAAAAACCAAACAAATCCTTTTACTGACACTTCAGTAATTGCGTTTACCCTAGGTATGTGTCTAAACTTCAAAATATAAATTACAGTTCAAAATCGGGACATGGTTTCGATGTTAACACTGACCGACTGACTGAATCATGAGAGTATCTTGAACCAAGAAAATTTATCATGTATGCGTACAAATTCGGATGACACTACGTGATTGTTTCAATGTTTCATTGGCACGCCAGGTGCATTTTGACACTGGAGGATGGCCCATCCGGTATACCTGTGCTATTGGAGGACCAATATAAGATTTGTTCTCAGTAAAGTTCCTAGATGTTTTAAATCTCTTAATGGTGAGATCGGAAAAGATGCTACATATGTGTGCATCGTCGCCTTTCCAATTTGAGTAAAAACCAAAGAGAATGCCCTACTTGGTAGCCTGTGTACAGACGTCCCCCCTCCCTCAGAAAAAATCGGGAGAAGAGAAAAGAGAAGAGTCTCTTCTCCCAATTTTTTCTGAGGGAGGGGGGACGTCTGTACACAGGCTATACTCTTGCTAGTGTTAGAAACAAATCAGAAAGCCTTACTTATCATATCATAGTACCGATCACAGTAACTCTTGTAACCAGTACCGAGTGCCGTGTAAAAACATATAAATTTTTCAATATATTTTTTTTATCTAGATAGATAAGATAGATAGTTTATTAAAACTGCATCGCAGCCAAAGGCTGAATTACGCAATCATTTACAAAAACTTTACATTGCTTGAAAATTACAAATGAATCCTAGATAATAAGTCAAAAACTGATTTTTTAAGATAATATTAAAAATTCTATATAATACATTCATATTAAAATATGTTAAAATATAAAGCATGAATATAAGTGGGATAAAACTACAGCCTGGACTGTTTCGACATCGCATATATAAAACTGGTTACTTACACTGGTTACGCAACTTTCTAACGAGTATACTATGATCTATCAAATCAAACGCTTTACGGCAGTCCAATAATAATATTCTTACAGTGGCTCCGTTTCCATCCGTACCCAAGGACCAGCTGTGCAGCATGCTAATTAGCGCCATTGTAGTTGAGGAATTTGGGACGGCTCCGTACTGGTTGTCATCGAGAATGTTCATGACCGCAGGTTTGACGAAACCATCCACGACGAACTCTTCCGGCACTTTAGAAATACAGGGGGGCAGGGATATCGGTCTCAATTCCTTTTGGATGTCAACCACTGGTTTCCGTATTTTCATGTATTATTATTATTATTATTATTATTATTATTATTGCTATTACTATTATTTTCATCTTTTCCCTTTTTCGTGTAGGTTTAGTTACCAGGGCCCCCAATTATCCCACCCGGCCCCAGCTAAACACCTCGACACTTACGGTAAATTAAGGTTCTTTTTTATTCCCTTGAAACTGGCAGCATGCATGGCTCTTGCCTTAAAAATTTTTCTTTCCCTCTTTTTCCACCACATTTTTCTTTTTCGCCTAGCGTGTTTTTAACCTAATCTGTAGTATTATATTTCATTTTGTTATAGGGTTCTTCTCATTACTTTGCATGTTCATCAAAACATGGCTGGGTACGTGACCCTGTTACTCTTCCTAGCACACAGCCAACAACAACAACAACAACAACAAGTTTATTTCAAATTAAATATAGCTTACAAAGCTTGTGCCTGCAATTAGCGAAGGCTATTCGTGGCGGGTACAAGAGAAAAAGGAAAATTGTATAAATATAAATATATATATATATATATATATATATATATATATGTTAAACGAACAATCCTAGAAGCAATCTAGTTTGTCGTGTGGTTTATAGCCAGGGTGAGACAGGAAGGCAGACTGTACTTCATACGGAAGCATACCATGTTACGATTTTGAGAATTGCCCTGTAATATCAGAAACTCTAATATAGTCGTCCTTTTTTTCCCAGTATTTCAAAGAGTTTTCTCTTTAGTTCGCTTTTGAATTGATTTTTTTAAAGTGTTTTCATAGAAAGTGGAATACTGTTCCAAATTAAAGCACCGGAAATAGAGAAGGCTCGCTTCATATTTTCAGTTCTAACTTGTTCAACATAGTAATTTTCATTAGTAACAGATGTAGTCCTGTAACTGTGGACAGAAGACAGTTTCGGGAACATATTCTCAATGTTATCAGGAGCGAGATTATTATAGACGTCGTACATTAAAAGGCTCATTTGCTCAAATAACAAGAACGATATCGGCAACTGTTTTGTTTCTAAAAAAAACCGGAACTGCACGAGTTCTTGGTTCAGCGAAGAACATTAGCCTAAGGGCTCTCTTGTGGAGAACCAGTAGTTTATGAGGATGCGTTTCAGCAGCATGACCCCACGCACAGATACCATAACTGATATAAGGGAAAATTAAAGAGCGTTATAAAGTGAGAAGTACATGACGGGGAACAAAATGTCTGAGCTTGGCGATAATTCCGATTGTTTTACTGACTTTTTGACAAACGTAATCTATGTCAAATTTCTATGAAAGGTTCGAATCAATGAGTTACAAAAGAAGCGTGAGTTACAAAAGAAGCGAAGTTTAATGGACGTTTACTCAGTAAATCTGTTTGCCCATACAAGAATTTGTAGAAAAAATTTATATCATTAAGCCCTCTATCATATTAGAGATACTGGTGGTAGGTCCAGTCTAATAAGTCTTTCATTGTAAGACATAATTCTCCGTTACGAGACCGCAGTATCCATCGTACCGTGTGGCGTTTGGCTGTTTGACCGGTTTCAAACTTTGCGCAACAACATGCAACAGCCGAGGGTGTGCAAACAAACGCAACATGTATATGTAACAATATTGAAAGTTGTTGGCCAACACTGTTACGTCCGTTATTGCACGAGGTTCTACTCATGAAAAGTTGCAACGTCAGTTGAGCAACAACACTTTGCTGTCTGTCCTCTTCGAATTGGCATCAATCTCGCACTATCCACATGACACTAATCACTTATTTTAAAAAATCTCAAACATCATTTCATGGGTAATTCAACAACTATAAAGGGCCTCCCAAAGTGGTAAAAGATTCCTTATAACACCTTGTCGAAAACGTCCTAAGCGGCGGAGCCGAATGCGAAGTCTGGCGGCTTTTTCTGAAAAAAAAAAAAAAATAGCGGGATGCGGGATACTGCCGGATTTTCGTGAAAAAGGAGCGGGAATACGGGATCAGGACCCCCTTTTCAGTCCCTGAGCCCACGATCCTGATTCCTGCTGCGAAGAAAACATCTGCCGACGCGATCGTGACTGGTTTGCTTTCATATGATGACATTTTCCTGACAGAAGGGTGTTGGGAAAGACACCTCGTGTGAATCATACGTGACAAAATCCGCCGCGCCTAAGCTAATGGAGAAAAGTCTCCTGGAAGGCTCCATATAATGAAATTATAAGGAATTGTATGGAGCTTAATCATGAGAAGACAGACAGGGCTTGTACTGTAAGTATCATTTGCGAAGGAGGCACTGAAAAGGAGTATTTATATGCAGGAAAAGTACGCACTGGAAAGGAATAAAAGTAAAATAAATAGAGGATATTACACGGTGGCGCGAAGATATGAATTTTTTTTTCGAGTGGCAAAACAATATTTTACGAACGAGCGCAGCGAGTGAGTAAAATATTGTTTTTGCCACGAAAAAATAAAATTCATATCTTCAAGCCGCCATGT